GATACTCCTGAAATATGGTGATTTTCTGAGGTGTGACAATGATGTTATTTGGGTTAAGATAATGAAGCTAATTAGGAATAATGAAAGGTTATTAGGACCTTTCCTATTCTTAGAAGATGCAAAGTGAAATGTTTAGGTAACATGTGTCACAACATCAGTGACTTAGACCTACACATGGTCCAGCAAAAAAGGTTTCAAACATTTAGATACATAAATACATATAGCAAAGGTGGCCAAATCTTCACAACTGATGAATCTAGTTTTCTTTTTTTTTAAAGATTTTACTCATTTATTTGAGTGAGAGAGAGAGAAAATAAGTGGGGGGCAGGGGCAGAGAGAGAAGCAGTCTCCCCACTGAGCAGGGAGCCCAACTCGGGGCATGATCCCAGGACCCTGAGATCATGACCCGAGCCAAAACCAAGAGTCAGCCGCTTAACCGACTGAGCTACCCAGGTACCCCCAAAATGGGTCACCTTTGAAAGGATGTAAGAAACCAACTCATTATTCAGAAAATTAGTAAACCAAGGAAAAGAATATTTATCTTCAATTTTCCAAATGATCTGTATAACTGAGTAACAGTTAATGTAAAGTTTCTTTTTACAGGTGCATTCCAGCTAATTAAGAATAAATGACGGAATTCGAATATCCACCAATTTACAACCTCTAATGAATTAAGGGACATAGTAACTGCCTGTCAGTGGCTGCAGATATTACTAAAATGAGAAATCCAGATATCACATGCCAGTGGACTGAAGAATATCATCATCACCTAGGGAAAAAAAAAAAGTTTCCCAAAAGTCTGAGTAAGCTTCTAGACCCAACTATCATTTTACAGGAAATAGACAGAGGTACATGTTCCTCCATACCACCAAGATGCCATCAGCAAAATCCAGATGGTGTGAAACTATGTGACAAATGATCTAATTTAATCAAGAAAAACCTGTTAACAAAAAAATCAAGGGCGCCTGGGTGGCTCAGTCGGTTAAGACACTGCCTTCAGGCTCAGGTCATGATCCCAAGGTCCTGGGATCGAGCCCCACATCGGGCTCCCTGCTCGGCGGGAAGCCTGCTTCTCCCTCTCCCACTCCCCCTGCTTGTGTTCCCTCTCTGGCTGTGTCTCTCTCTGTCAAATAAATAAAAAATAAAATCTTTAAAAAAATAAATTAAATAAATAAATAAATAAATAAAATCTTTAAAAAAGATTCAAGAGGAACCTTTATAAAAGAGACTTAAAAGACTTTTTAAAATGACAGGGAAAACAAAATCAAACTGGAGAAGTTCACTCAGACAATAAAGCTCTAGAGAAAAACCTTTCCTGCAAACAGACCACAATAGGCTTCCGGGATAGCTGGCAAAACCGTAACTCACGACCTGGTGGTTAAAGGTGTGGGTACCTTAGGATACTTAACCATGCAGTTCTTTGTGTTATGTGGCTTTCTGTATTCTTGTCATACTTAGTTTGTTTGAAAACGAAGAAATGAGGAAAACTTTTAACATAGATCAGAACATGGCTCTAAGTAACTCTTGGAAAATATTCTATGTTCTTCACAGTGACGATCTGGTCCTGGCCTAACTCCCTGACCTCCTTTCCCACCATCCCTTCACCTCTTCTGCTCGAAACTTCTTATTGCTCCCAGGCATACAGAAACCACTTCCCGCTCAGGGCCTCTGTGTGTCCCGCTCACACTAGACTGCTCTTGCCCAGATTGGTGGCCTGAACCTTTCCTTCACGACTCTGTGCAAGCACGCCCACTTCAAGACATGCCTTAACCATCCAAGCCTGTCATTCTCACTGCATTGCTCCTATATACTTGTCTGCACAGCATCATTCCTGATAGTACTGATTTACTCATCTGCTTACTTGATTGATCCATGTCTTGCCAACTGCAGGGAAAGTCCATGAGAGCATGACTCTATCAGTCATGTTCATTTCACCATACAGACAGTGCCAAGCACAGTGCTTTGCTTGGAGTGGACCCTCGATAAATATTTGCTGAATATATGAAAACATTTTTTAGACACTGGAAACACATACAGAAATTTAAATGCAAAAGCAGAGCTGGAAAGCAGCTGGATGCAAAATATATGTTAAAAGGTTACACTGGGGGAGGGGAGCGCCTGGGTGGCTCAGTCAGTTAAGTGTCTGACTCTTGATTTCAGCTCAGGTCATGGTCTCAGGGTCGTGGGATCGAGCCCCACGACGGGCTCCATGCTCAGCGTGGAAGTCTGCGTGGGGTTCTCGCTCTCCCTCTCCCTCTGCCCCTGTTCATGGGCACGCGCTCTCTAATAAATAAAATCTTTAAAAAAAAAAAAAAGGTTACACTGGGAAAGAGGGTACTCACTCCACTAAAAGGAGAGGAAATAAAAGAACAAAAATTAGAGATTAGCAAAAGATGGAGTTCCTTTGAAAGCCCACACTGTGTAATCTTTATTTCCTTCTCAGATCTCAGGCATTTTTATCCAACAGGCCTTGGCTCTTTGAAGGCATTTTCCCAAACCACATCTCAAGGGTATGACCCGTCTCTGACCCCCTCTGCCAGCTTCTCCCCTACTCACCTGGATACCATCCGCTTGTTTCTCTCCTTACAACCACCCAGGGCTCTTTCTCTTGCTCCAGTAAGGTAATCACATCTGGCTTAGAAATGGAACTTCCTGCTTAAAAACAAAAAAAAAGAAATGACATGACACGTGATGTAGAAAAAAATTTTTTTAAATATACAAAAAAAGCCCCACAAAATGGTTGAGATCTGGTTAAGTTTGTAGTAATATTTTTTTAGAGGGGAGGAGGGAGAGGGAGAGAGAGAATCTCAAGCAGACTCCACACCCAGTGTGGAGCCCAACGCGGGGCTCGATCTCATGACCATGACCTGAGCTGAAATCAAGAGTCAGACGCTTAACCAATGGAGCCATCCAGGCGCCCCTAAATTTATAAAAACAGACATGCCCGTTTTCAACCTGACAAATTCCAAACGATTTCCTTGGGAATAAGAAGAAACTCAGCTATTTCTTAAAAGCCCTGAAACTCACAGTGAAGAAAGCCAATATTCCAGAGAAGAGACACTAATAATTTATTAAATTATTGTTTTAAACTATTTTAGGTTAAATTATGAAATTAAAATTTAAATTATTAATTATAACTGTTCAATACTAATTTTATTGTATATATTAATTAAAGATTGTATTTATTTATTTGAGAAAGAGACAGCGAGCAAGAGCATCAACGGGGTGGGGGGAGGGAGAAGCAGGCTCCCCGATGAGCAGGGAGCCTGATGTGGGGCTTGATCCCAGGACCCCGGGATCAGGACCTCAACTGAAGGCAGACGCTTGACTGACCAAGCCACCTAGGCACCCCTGTATTGTAATTTTAATTAATCTTTAGAATGAACTACTACTGGGGGAGATAGTCTTACCCAGAGAGACCAGGTTGCTGTAGGTCTCCAACATCACGTCCCTGTACAAGGCCCTCTGAGCAGGGTCCAGGCACTCCCACTCCTCCTGGGAGAAGCTGATGGCCACTTCCCCGAATGACAGAGATCCCTGAAACCACACACACATGCATTACCATGACACTGAAGGAAATTACTTGCGGTGAACAGAGAGGAGGCGAAGAACTGCGCTGCAGGACAAGAGCAATATGGTGCTTTGCAGGGTGCCTGCAAGTTCTGGAAGAATCTTGCTGCTGCACAGCAAACTTGCTGTGTGCTGTGGGATAACCTACTGATCCCCGCAGGGCAGAGAATGGCTAAAAAAAAAAATGTGAAGTCATCATATTTCAGGAGAAGAAATACCAACTTACACAGGCCATGTTTTTAGAATGACAAAATTGGTCCATCTTCCTCATGCTTCCCCTCCTAGATAGAAAAAAAAAAAAAAAGGGCTTAAGCCAAGCTGTGCCTTGGTGCTCTCTAAGGGACTCAAATTAATACAACAATTTTTTCTTCCATTTCTATGTCCCAACTACTCCCTAAAATTCCTCTTCTATCCCTCTCTGCTTCACACAATCTCCCTTTCCCTTCGTCCCTCCACCTCTCCTCCTACCCACCCCCATACAAATTGGCATCAAACATGAGGAGCCTGGACAAAACAAGCTCTCCCCCAAGGCCTGGGGAACCCGTCCTCCAAAATATGAGGGAGCATGAGGCATCCTCCATTCTTGGGACACATGACTAGGCCTAGGACTGGGCTCCCCATCCTGCTCTGTGCAGATCCTCCTCCCCCCGTCCCACCTTTCAGGGCTGAGAAGGGGTCACATTATCCAAATCAGAACCTCTTTGTGAACTCAGGATTGGAAGAAGTGGGGCAGGGCACGAAAATTGGGAAGGATGTAGATGGGATTGCTCAGGCAGCGTTTGGCTTTCTAAGTCCACCGAAGCCAACTGGTTAAATATGGCAGGGCATCCATGTAATGGGATACTAAGTAGTCATTACATGTTCAAGATACACGGTCAGCAGAAAACTCAGGTTACAAAATAGGATGCAGAATATGATTACATCTATAAAATATATACGTATATATATGAAGACTAACAGACATTGACAGAAAAAAATTCTAGAAAATTATATGTCATGTTAACAGTTCTTGTCACTGTATGGTGGCCCCAATTCTCTACTTTTTGCTCAAGAGTGCTTCATAATTGTATGGCAACGCGTTAACTTGGAATGTATATACAGTTATATTTATAAACACATACATATATGTATGTGTATGTTTATATATATATATATGTTTTTTCCTATGAGGAAGCTGTTCTCCAAATCAGATGAAAGGCAACCTTTTACTTAGACAACTTCTCTACAAACGTGGAAAAACTCAGGATATTCTAATACACTCTTGTTTTTACTTAACGGGTTTGTTTCATTTCCCAATTCTTGAACCAACACTAAGATGTCTACGTTTATCTGAGCAGGTTACAATAATTTCTAGAAAAAAATGTCTGAAGGTCCTGAGCAATGTCTTACATACATTTGATAGTCTCACACATCTTCTTCTAAACCCATCATTTCAGCCACAGTATTCCCTCAACAGCCACTGTATCGTCTTCCGCTATTAGTCACTCTGCATTTAACAGATTTAGAATTTCCAACAGTTTCTTTAACTCTATAGAAATCCCATGGGCTTATAATTTGGTCAAAGCGTGGTGACTCTATAGACCAAAAGAGGCATATTTCCCGTAAACTCTCAAAGTACGGTAAATGACTTTTTCTGATAGGCTCTGTCATCCCCAGTTATACGCTTATTCTTGTTCAGACTTCACCTTCTGTGCTGGAGAAATAAGAAACCTAAAAGAATACTAAGAAAATTCAATGGAAGTACATAATGACACATGACATATTAACTGCTTAATATTAGCAGTTAATATGTGTCATCATTATTGCTGAGGATAAAGAAGATTACACTTGTTAAAGAAACTTAACTCCACTGTTTCCCTTTTTCTTGTGTAAGTCATAAAATATAGTGTAAGGCCTGCTCTTTCTTAGAATGCTAACCAAAAATATTCAGAGCTTAGCCTGGAGAATGCAATTCTTAAAGAATCACATTAGCAAAGAGACAAGGAGAAAAGGAGCCTTTCAGCACAGAAGCCTCAGAGGGAGAGGCAATGGTATTATGCTCTCTCTCACAGACCCAGAAATGAATGAAAAACGATGACTTGATTAGATTTGTTTTTCGAACTGATTCTGATTCTATTCTACAGAAACAAAACTCTTGTATTCACACAGAAAAAATAATTGGAAAAATATAAACCAAAGCATCAATAATGACTACCTCTAGACGGTGGTACTATAATTTTAACTTTCTTCTTAAGTTCCTTAAAAAGAATAGTTTTGGGCGCCTGGGTGGCTCAGTTGGTTAAGCGACTGCCTTCGGCTCAGGTCATGATCCTGGAGTCTCTGGATCGAGTCCCGCATCGGGCTCCCTGCTCGGCGGGGAGTCTGCTTCTCCCTCTGACCCTCTTCTCTCTCGTGCTCTCTCTCATTCTCTCTCTCTTAAATAAATAAAATCTTTAAAAAAAAAGGATAGTTTCGCACTATTCCATCATCAAAAATACACAACAAAGGGGCACCTGGGTGGCTCAGTCAGTTAAGGGTCCAGCTCTTGATTTCGGCTCAGGTCATGATCTCAGGGTTGTGATATCAAGCCCCGCATCAGGCCCCACACTGAGCATGGAGCCTGCTTAAGATTTTCTCTCTCTCTTTCTGCCCCTCCCTCCCCTTGCTCACGCACTCTCTCTAAATAAAAAAAAAACAAAAAACCCAAACAAAAAACCCCAAAACAAACAAAACCCCACAAAAGAGTTACTTCCAAATTAAAATAAAAATAAAAACAGAGCTATCAGGAAGTGGGTATTTCCAATCATTAAAGAACCGAGCTTGTCATGAGAGTCAACAAAGATATCAATGTGACTATAACAAGTAACAGCGACCAGTTCTAACATCCTTTGGCTGTATCTCACCAATATAATTAGAAATTTTCATGTTGGGAAGGGGGGTGGGGGGATGGGTTAGCCTGGTGATGGGTATTAAAGAGGGCACATTCTGCGTGGAGCACTGGGTGTTATGCACAAACAGTGAATCATGGAACACTACATCAAAAACTAATGATGTAATGTATGGTGATTAACATAACAATAAAAAATTATTAAAAAAAAAAGAAATTTTCATGTTCAAGATTCTTCTCCTAAAGAACATAATGCAGGTAAGTGGCACCTACAGACTGAGTAAGGAAATGCATGGGATATACACAGTACCATGCTCAGTTCTCTTCTTCATTCTATGAAAACATAATTTTGGAGAGAATCCTTATAGATTGCCCTCCCTTAGTAAATGCGATTCATATACAACATCTTGGGTACTACCGTTCCTAACATGAATACTGCTTAACACGAGATCAAATGTTTTCTCTTTTCATGATTGTTTATGAACATAATTTTCTTAAGTGCATAATACCCCATCACATGAGTCTAGTGTGATTTGCTTAACTACTCAATTTGTACAAGATCATTTTAAATATCACTCCAAGTATCACAGTCTTTTAATGCTAGACCAGGGTTTCTCATCCTCAGCATGAATGCCATATTAAGCCAGATAATTCTTTGTTGTGGGGGAGAATGGTGGGGAGGGTTATCCCGTACATTGTAGAATGTTTAGTAGCATCTTTGTCCTCTATCACTGCCCCCCACTGTGGAAACCAAAGTTGCCTCTAAATATTACCAAACATCCCCTGGAGGGCGAAATCACCCTGTTAAGAACTACTGATCTGGGTGCCTGGGTGGCTCAGTTGGTTAAGCAACTGCCTTCGGCTCAGGTCATGATCCTGGAGTCCCGGGATCGAGTCCCACATCAGGCTCCCTGCTCAGTGGGGAGTCTGCTTCTCCCTCTGACCCTCTTCCCTCTCGTGCTATCTCTCATTCTCTCTCTCTCAAATAAATAAATAAAATCTTAAAAAAAAAAAAAAAACTACTGATCTGCACTGATGAATCCAAGCCTTCTAGGTCATGCGCACTTTGAATAATCTCATGAAATTATATACTTTCCCCATAAAGTCCACCATAACACTTTGGTATACTATTTCAAGGGATTTGTGGTCCTCTGAGACCATAAATGGAATCACAACAACTCAGGTTAAGCATTTTCTTTTTTTTTTTTTGGAGGGAGAGAGAGGGGGAGGGAGGGGCAGAAGGAGAGAATCTTAAGCAGGTTCAATGCCCAGCACAGAGCCCCACACGGGGTTTGATCCCACAACCCTGAGACCATGGCCTGAGCTGAAATCAGGAGTCAGATGCTTAACCAACTGAGCCACCCTGGCAGCCCAAGAATCTGTATCACTTGAGCATCTCACTTGTTTTCTTAATATGCAGGCAGCAATCACCATGGATCACATATTCCTAATGCCCCCGCTGTATAGAAATTGAGAGGAATGAGCTAAAACACACATAAACAACAGCTAAAACATATCAAGCATTTACTGTATGCCTGACACTGCTCTAAGGGGCTTTATACTATTAACTCATCTGACGTTCATTACAAACCTGAGACAGCCAGAGAGAGAAATATTCCAACCCAGATACTCTGGATCCACAGCCCCTACTCTCAACCACACTATACTGATTCTCAGTCCACACAAAAGGAAGCCCAACACACAACTCGAGCTGCCAAACTTCAAACAGACATGGCCAATAATACAAATTTCAACTGATGGAATGCCCTGGAAAAATCCTGGCTCTTACTGATACCAACTTCTGTTGCTATCACTTTCCCATTTCTGAAAGCCTCAGACTGACTAAAATCAGCTAACCATCTCCCTTGTTCCCTTGCTTTGGAAAGCAGGCCCTTAAAGACCAAAAGATATCCAGTGTGTGATTCCACCTAAACACTAATTTCCTTCTTACCAAATCAGAGTCTAAAATAAAGCTTTAGCATTAATCACTGGAGTTTTATTTCCGTGTCATCTTAGAAAAAGGGAGTGCTCAAGAAGATATGAACAATTTACCAAACTGCTTTTGGTATTTACCAAATTATTTACCAAGTGAATATTAAGTGAAGAGGTGAGGGGCAATGGGGGACCAAATGGTGGGGTATCAATTTGCACGTCTCCCTCCATTTCCTGAAAATTTACTGGAACCTCTATATTCTAAAAACAAAAACGCATTTCTTATGCAAAACAAAGCAGGAACTCACCCTTGACTTTAGACGTGCAGCAATAATACTCTCATCCTTCTCGGGGTCCTTTTGGGTAATGGTGCGACTGGGGAAGGAGAAGGGGAGCATGAGACCCCAGGCTTTTCTTGAAGCGCAGACTAAATTTGAAAGCACCCTCCAGGGCCACACCTCCCTTACTTCGCACAAAATGGGATGGGAGTAAAAGGAGGACTCGATCCCCGGGTTCGAAGCTGGTTCCTGGGGACAGAACTCTGAGAATGCGGTAGTTCTGAACATGTAGCTGCCCCCGTGGGGTCCCCAGACAGGCACCTGCAGCTCTAAAACTCCCATCCCAAGTCCAGGCCCGAGCTTTCTGGGGGGAGCTTTCATTCTAGGCTCAGCATGTGGCCTCCCTACTGGGGCCATTGGTATGCTGCAGCCACGTGGCTGGGAGGAGAGAAGACGGACGAAGAGGCGGGCCACAGGTCCCCGTGACACAGACACACACACACACACACACACTCCAACGTCCGCCACTCGCGGTCGCACAATCCCTCTGCTCGCTGCGCGCGCGCGCTCTGCCGAAACTCCTTCGGGTGCCTGTCAGCGCCCTGTCCTGAGCGCCTCTCTCTGCCCACCCACACTGGCGGGTCCCTCCGGCTGGTGTCCTGCTCAGTAGAGGCCTCTGGCAGCCACGGCGTCCTTCCTCGACCTCGGGGCCTCACCCCACCAGGACAACGACCCTCGGGTGCCGGAAGTGGCTGCTAATTCGGCGTGGTGGCCCCTGGGAAACGCAGTCTCAAAGAGGAAATGCCTCGGAAGCCTAGAGTTCTGCGACTCAGATTGTTCCCGGCATGCAACTTAGGCCTGCCCCTAACGGAGCTCAGCCCAGTGGTTTGTGGGAGTTCCAGCGCCCCCAGGAGTGCGCAGGTGCAGGCTGCTGGTAACTGAGGATTCCCCTGAGAGAGCATTGCCTGTTAGAGCCTCTGTAACTTACTTTTCTCATCATGGAGAAAAATGCAAGCGACCATAACTATTAAAGAAGGCAGTCTTATATATAGAAAACCCTACAGTCTCCACCAAAAAACGTGGAATAAACGGATTTAGTAAAGTTGCACGATACAAACTCAATTGTGTTTCTGTGCGCTAACAACAGACTGTCTGAAAAACAAATTAAGAAAACAGTCTCATTCACAATAGCATTAAAACCAATACAAACTTAGAAACTAATTTAACCAAGGAGGTGCATGAATTATACTTGATGAGAGAAATGGCAGAAGACACAAAAATAAATGGAGGGACAGCTCGTGTTCATGGTTTGGAACAATATTGTTAAAATGTCTATACTACCCGAAGTGATCGACAAATTTGATGCAATCCCTATCATGTTCCAGTGGCATTTTTCACAGAAATAGAAAAAAAAATCCTAAAATTCAGATGGAAGCACAAAAGACTTGGAATAAGCAATCTTGAGCAAGAAGAATAAAGTTGGAGGCATCACACTTCCTGACTTCAAATTATATGATAAAGCCCTAGTAATCAAACAGTATGGTCCTGGGATAAAAACAGACACATAGATCAGTGGAAAAGAATAGAGTGCCCAGAAATAAACCACACATATACAGTCAAACAATCTTCAACAAGGGAGCTAAGACTACATAATGGGGAAGGATAGTTTCTTGGATAAATGATGCTGGGAAAATAGGATATCCATATGCAAAAGAATTAAATTGGACCCTTATACCATACACAAAAATCAACTCAAAATAGGTTAAAAATTAAACATAAGGCTTAAAACTACAAAACCCCTAGAAGAAAACAGAGAAAAATCTTGTTGCTGTTGGTCTTGGCAATGATTTCTCGGATATGACACCAAAAGCTCAAGGAACAAAAGCAAAAATAAACAAGTGAGACTAATTCAAACTCAAAACCTTCTTCATAGCAAAAGAAACAATCAGCAAAATGAAAAGGCAACCTACAGATTAGAAAAAAAAATTGTAACCATATATGCAATAAAGGGTTAATATCCAAAACAATAAGGAACTCCTATAATTTTTAATAGCTCAAATCTAAATATATTTAATTTAAAAATGGACAAAGGTCCTGAATAGACATTTCTCAAAGAAGGCATACAAATGACCAATAGGTACATGAAAAGGTGCTCAACAACACTAATCATCAGGGGAATGCAAATCAAAACACAATGAGATATTACCTCACATCTGTGAGAGTGGCTATTATTAAAAGAAAAAAAGGAAAAGATAACAAGTGTTGGTGAAAATGTGGAGAAGAGGAAATCTTTGTGTACTGTTGGTGGAAATGTAAATTGGTGCAGCCACTATGGAAAACAGCATGGAGGGATGTACAGTGTGGCACATACATACAATGGAATATTATTCATCCTTTAAAAAGAAAGAAATCTTGCCATTTGTGACAACATTGAAAAACCTGGAGGACATTATGGTAAGTGAAATAAGTCAGGTAGAGAAGGACAGATATTCTCTTACTTAATGTGGAATCCAAAATAGTCAAGATCATAGATGCAAAGAGTAAAATGGTGGTTGCCAGGGGCTTGGGGAGGGGAAAAGAGGGAGGTGATGGTCAAGAGGTACAAAGTTACAGTTATGCAAGATACATTATCAAGAATTAATATTATTAGGGTGCCTGGGTGGCTCAGTTGGTTAAGCGACTGCCTTCGGCTCAGGTCATGATCCTGGAGTCCCAGGATCGAGCCCCACATCGTGCTCCCGGCTCAGCGGGGAGTCTGCTTCTCCCTCTGACCCTCTCCCCTCTCATGTTCTCTCTCTCTTTCTCTCTCAAGTAAATAAATAAAATCTTTAAAAGAAAGAATTAATATTGTTAAATTTTATTGATAAAGATAATTCTGGAAATCTATACAGCATACTGTCTCTAGCTAACAATGCTGTGGTGTATATTTAAAATTTGCTAAGAGGGTAGATCTCAAGTGAAAGAAGAAGAAGGAGGAGGAGGAGGAGAAGAAGAAGAAGAAAAGAAGGAGAAGGCAGCAGGAGGAAACTCTGGTAGGTGATGGATATGTCTATGGCCTTGATGGTAGTGATGACTTCACAGATGTATATTTATCCTCAAACTCATTGAATTGTATACAGTAAGTATGTGCAGCTTTTTACATGTCAATCATACCTCAATAAAGTTTTTTTAAGTAATTGTACTAATTTACACATTTATGGAAAGCATAGAGTTCCAGTTGGTTTCCATCCACCTCAGTACTTGGCATTTTCTTTCTTTCTCAGCATAGCCATTCTGATGTGTGGGTAGCAGTCTCTTTGATGAACTTTTCCCATGTTTACTGACCTGTAGACTATCCTCTTTAGTGAAGTGGCTTGGTATATTTTTTTGCCCGTTTTTTTCTTTTGAGATGTATTTTTCTTACTGATTTTTAGAAGTTTTTTGGTATATTGTAGATATAAATCCCATATCAGTTATAGATCTAGATCTATTAAATATATGTATATATATATATATATATAAAATATCTTCTCTCATTCCGTGGGTTGATTTTTCACTCCCTTAATGTTGCCATTTGATGAAAAATGTCCTTGATTTTAATATATTACAACTTGCAATATTTTTATTTTATGGTTAATGTTTCTTGTGTCCTGTTAAAAATATCTTTGTCTCAGAGAGCCTGGGTGGCTCAGTTGGTTGAGCGTTCGCCTCTTGATTTCAGCTCAGGTCATGATCTTAGGGACGTGAGATCAAGGTCCATGTCAAGCTCCATGCTCAGCGGGGAGTCTGCTGGAGATTTTCTCTCCCTCTCCCTCTGCCCCTCCCCCACTTGCACACACACACTCTCTCAAAAAAAGTAAATAAATATTTTTTAAAAATATATGTTTGTCTCCTCCAAAGTCAAGAGGGTATTCTCTTCTGTTCCCTCTAAAAATTTTATTTTATATTCACAGAGTCTCCAACTATCTGGAATTGATTTGGGGCAGCATCACTGCATTTAGCATATTTGTCATAAATCAGGTCACCATATATGTAAGGATTTATTACTGGACTCTATTCTGTTCCACTGGTCCATTCATCTTTCCTTGCATCAGCATCTCACTGTCTTAAACACTGTACCAGTATAATGGATTTCTATACATGGCAGCAAAAGTCCTCCAGCTTTATTATTCTTCTGTAAGATCGCCTTGGTTATTTTTGGCCCTTTGCATTTTCATGAGTTTTAGAATCATCTTGTCAATTTCCACAAAATTTTCAGTGACTTTTAATCAGTATTGCATTACATACATTTGGGGAAATTTTTATATATTTACAGTATTGAGACTTCTAGTCCATGAATGTAATATTCTTTCTTATTTAGGGCTTCTTTAATTTCTTAGAGAAATTTTGTGTTTTTCAGTGTAGTGGGATTGTTCATTTTGTTAAACTCATTCTGAGGTATTAGTCATATTTTAATGTAAATGGTATGATTTCCTTTTTTTAATTTATTGCAGATATATAGAAATACAATTGGCTTTTTTTTATTGACCTATACATAGCAACATTGATAAATTCACTAATTTTGAATTTATATAGATTGTGTACCTAGAAAACCCAAAGCAAATATGTGATTTGCAAGTAATAATAGTTTTGGAGCACCTGCATGGCTCAGTAGGTTAAGCATCCGACTCTTGGTTTTGGCTCTGGTCATGATCTTGGGGTCGTGAGATCGAGCCCCGCATGGGATCCAAGCTTGCCAGGGAGTCTGCTTGAGATTCTCTCTCCCCCTCTTCTTTTGCCCCTCTCCCCACTCTAAAAATAAATAAATAAATATAAAACATAATTTAAACAATAACAGTTTAGTCCTTCCTTTCTAATTTGTATGTCTTTTAGTTCTTTTTCTCCCCTTATTTCAATAGCTAGGACCTCCAGTACAATGTCGAGTAGAGGTTGTTTAACAGCAGACATCCTTGTTTTATACCTAATGTTAGGGGGATGATTTTAACATTTTGATATTGAGTATGATGCTTGTTGTTGATTTGTTTGCGGGGGTAAGATACCCCTCAACAGACTCAGGAAGTTGCCTTCTGGTTTCAGTTTTCTATGAGTTTCATCATGAATGGGTCATGCATTTTGTCAAATGTTCTTTACTCACTAATTTTTTATGTACCAAGATGATTGTATATTTCAGGGTTTTTTTTCTTTATTAGTGTGGTAAAATGCATTCAATGTTAAAAATATATTTCATTCCTGAGGGTGCCTGGGTGGCTCAGATGGTTGGGCATCTGCCTTCGGCTCAGGTCATGATCCCAGGGTCCTGGGATCGAGTCCCGCGTCGGGCTCCCTGCTCCTTGGGAGCCTGCTTCTCCCTCTGCCTCTTTCTCTCTGTCTCTCATGAATAAATGAATGAATAAAATCTTTAAAAAAAAATATATATATATATATATATTTCATTCCTGAAATAAACCTCATTTACTCATGATGTATATCTTTTTATATATCACTGAATTTGATTTGCTAATATTTTGTTAAAGATTTTTGCATCTTTGATTATGAGAACTTGGTCTATATTGTTTTCTGTAAGATCCTCATGAGATTTTGGAATCAAGTTTATTTTAGGCTCACAAAAAAAGTTAGGAAGTGTTCCCTTTTTATGTTTTCTGGAGGAATTTTTGCAAGATTGATGCAATTTCTTCCATCGTGTTTAGGCATAGGGTTTTCTTTATGACAAATTTTTAAATAGATTTTCTCTTTCTTCTTCTGCTAAATAAATTTGCAAATTTTTTCAGTGAATTTGTCTATTCCACCAGATTGTTCAATTTGCCATCTTAACATTTTTCATAATATCTTGTGTTTTTAATGTCTGTATGATCTATATTAATCCCTCATTTCTCATTCCTGATATTGTTCATTTGTGTTTTCTTTTTGTCTTGGACAAACCAATTTCATAAATAGCAAGATTTTTTATGTAGTTTTTCTCTATTGTACATTTGTTTCTATTTCACTGATTTCTGTCCTTTATTATCTCTTTCCTTCTAATTTATTTAGGCTTGATGTGATGGTCCTTTTCTAGTTCCATGAGATTTGGAAGCTGAATTCTAAGCAGGAAGGTTTTCATTGCATATAATTTACAATATAAGATTTGGGTTATTTGAGGTTAAAGAATTGAAACCTGGCACAAATTAGAAAATGAAAACTAGTTAGGAAGATAACACGGTAATTCAGGGCAAAAATAATGTGTTGTACTAATGCGGAAGCAATATATAGGGATTGATATAGAGAGGTCATAGAGCCAAAGGCACTTGTGAATAAGTTGGATTGTGAAAGAAAGGGTCAGAGAAATGTATCTTTTCCCTGTATCCCTCCAGATCTGCTCTCTACCCACTTCTACATTGCTCTGTGCCTCCAAGGTTAACCATTATGGGCTGTATCAATGGACTACACCAGTACAAGACTGGTGAGCAGGAAGAGAGTGAAATTGGACTACATATTTCCCTAGCTCCCTCTCTACCTGATCAATCAAGGTTGGCTTTGACCACCCCCCATACACACACACCATAGGTCTCATTACACCTTTTGCTTGGTAAGCCTTACTTCCTGTGTCCAGTAACTACTCCTTGCCTTGCTTTTTCAAACTTGGGTGCTATAATTTTTCCCCTAGGCTTGCCAGCCTCAGAAAACTGTACCATGCTTTATTGTTTTGCCTTAAGCTACCACATATTTGTATATTATCCCTTTGTCAAATTCTCATCAGCAATCCTCTAAGCAATCCCTTATGTCAGCAATTACCAACACAAGAGGTAATCAGACTGATTTCTAAGGATTTATTGAAGAAACTTATGGGAGCCTGGGGCATTTCCTGAGCTATAAGAGAAAGAGAGAATGGATGAGGCCAGTAGAAAGAAAACTGTCCATTTTTGATACATTCATATTAGAAATCCCAGCAAATATCCAATGAATATAAATGTTAAGATAAAGAGAAAGATTATTGCAGGCATTATTAAAAGTCATTTACATATAGCTGGGAGTGACTTGGATTTTGTTTTTGTTTTTTTAATTTCATTCATATATTTTTAATGATAAATGCTATCCTTGTTAGAAGATACTTTTCAAATAAATCTGCATGTGCCTCTTCAAAAATATTTAAATGACTGGAAAAAAGTGAACTATTCCTCCATACCACTGAGGGTTATTTTTTTTTTTAAAGATTTTATTTATTTATTTGACAAACAGAGAGAGCGAGAGTGAGAGAGGAAGAGAGCACAAGCAGGGGGAGCGGCAGGCAGAGGGAGAAGCAGGCTTCCTGCATGAGCAGGGAGCCCGATGTGGGGCTCGATCCCAGGACCCCGGGATCATGACCTGAGCTGAAGGCAGCGGTTTAACCAACTGAGCCACCCAGGCGCCCCACCACTGAGGGTTATTAAATTTAAAAGAAAAGATACAGAAAATGGCCTTTCTGATTTTTATAACAAAGTAATCCAAAGATCTTTTCCAATTGAGAAGAGCAACTTCCAAACATGTATCTAAACATATATATGTCCAAGGTTTGGACTGCTTTTTGACAACACACAACATAAATCCCGCTTAGGGAATAATTGCCTGGGATGGTGCCGAGTTACCAGGTCATTTAAATCGATGCTGTGTGCTACTGCACACTTGAAATTATTTACCCTGCTCTTATCCTAGCTACAATCTGTTCTCTCTCACTAATGCAGTGGAGAGAAATTTACTCCAGAATACCAAAGTCCTTCTGATTTCATTTTTGCTCCCACATCTGCTGCTGTAAGCCCAAGTCCTAGAAATAAAACCAAGTAAAGAAGCCCATGGAAGCTTTGGGGAAAAGTGGGTTTTAGAGTAAACATCAGTGAAATCTTCAAAGTTCTGTTTCTGACACTTGGTTCTAACTAACTTTAATGGCTGTTTGCAGTTGTTCATTTTAGAGATTTGGAGGAGATCTTTCTTTCCTCTTACGTCCTTCCTTCCTTCGCTCCTTTTTTTGGACACAGGCATTTGACACAAGATTGAGGCAGAGGGTGTACTTTGGCATTTTGCATTTGAAATGAGGCTGTGGTCTGTGACTCATGTTACTTGCTCCATTAAAGTTGTTGGCTGCAAAGCTGCTGAAAGTTCTTAGTTTTGTTTTAGTTTCTTATTTCTTAGTTGTTTTTTTTTTTCCTTCCTCCCAGGGGAGAAGTGGCGGGGGAGCGCACCGCAGGGCTCTGCGGGGTTTGGAGACTCCAAATGGGGTCGTGTGCCAGAGATAGAAATGTTCCGTCAGGCCGGGTGAGCACGGAGTGCAGCCAGAGACTGGGGACACAGGAGTGACTGACTGCTTTTCTCTGGGGGCGCACTGAGGAGTGGGGCCCCCGGTTCTTGGCTCCTCCGAGGTGGAGATTGGGAGGCCGCCATTTTCACTCTCATCCTCCAAAGCTGTTGTTTTGTTTTTTTAAAGTCAACTAACCAGATGTGTATACATAAAAATAACATTAAGGTGGGGGCGCCTGGGTGGCTCAGTTGGCTGGGTGTCCCAACTCTTGGTTTCTGCTCAGGTAGTGAGTGATCTCATGGGTTGTGAGGTCAAGCCCCACATTGGGCTCTGCACTCAGCAGGGGTCTGCCTGACATTCTCTCCCTTTGCCCCTCCCCATGCTCACATTCTCTCTCTCTCAAATAAATAAATAAATCTTAAAAAAAAAAAAAAAGGATATGGGGGCACCTGGGTGGCTCAGTCAGTTAAGCATCTGCCTTCAGCTCAGGTCATAATCCCAGGGTCCTGGGATCAAGCCCTGCATCGGGCTCCCTGCTCAGCAGAGAGTTTCCTTCTCCCTCCCCCTGCTCTTGTGCTCTTGCTTTCTCTCTCTCTGCCTTTCAAATAAATAAATTAAATATTTTTAAAAAAAAAGAATATGAAGGTAGAGAAGAGGAGAAGAACTAGGAACAACCCCTGGTATACTACAAAATTAAGAGATCTAGCTCAAAAGAAGTGGGCAGCAAAGAATGTGGGGCAGAAAACAATGTGGTGGTTCAGAAACTAAGAGAATGAAGTACATCAGTAATAAAAGAGGGGCATCTGGCTGGCTCAGTCAGTGGAGTATGCAACTCTTGATCTCAGGGTCATGAGTTTGAGCCCCATATTGGACATGGAGCCTACTTAAAAATAAACAAACAAATAAATAAAACAAGTCATACTTAAAAAAGAATAAAAGAGTTGCCCATTGTCATTCTGCTTAGATTGTAAATAATATGGGGACTGAGATTTGAGAAAAGTATGTGCAAACAGCAGTCATTAATGACTTATTAAGAGCAATCTTAGGGGGTATCTGGCTGGCTCAGTCAGTGGAGCCCGCAATTATTTATTTTGGGGTCGTGAGTTCAAGCCCTACTTTCAGTGTAGAGATTACTTAAAAAAAAAAAAAAAAAAAGAGCAATTTTAGTGCAGGGAGGATGAAGGCTCAATTATAAGAGCTTAAAGAAGGCACCTGGCTGGGTCAGTCAGAGGAGCATGCAACTCCTGGTCTTGGGGTTGTGAGTTTGAGCCCCATGTTGGGGTGTAGAAATTACTAAAAAAATAAATAAATATGAGTTTGAAGAGAAACTAAGGAAGTGACATCTGGAAACAGTGACTATAGACAGCTTTTTAAAGAAATTTTAAGGTCCCTGACATTTAGTTTCAACTAGGGCCAAGTAGTTCTCAAAATTATGATACTTATGTACTTATGATGGCATGGATTTACTCCACAACCACAGGGATATGCCCTATGCCCTATGATTCTTCTTCTTTTTTTTTTATTATGTTCAGTTATTGAGGTTTATACGGTTTCCACACATCAAACCGATATAACATAGATACTTTAAATATCCTTACATTTTCTGTATTTTAAGGCCCAAATAGCAGCACTACCTGCTCTTCAGATAAGACTTGCAAAATCCGAGCAAGGGAAGGAGTGAGAGCACTTCAAGATGCGCTGCCTGACTATACCAACTTCGGGCCCTGGCCCAGGCTGCACGTGCAGGGCATCCCATGGCCCGAGCCTCCACAGCAGCGCAGTGGCAGCGACCTACAAGTTCGTGAACATGCGGGAACCCTCGATGGACAGGACGGCTCAGACCCTGCTGTGGACTGAGCTTATCCGAGGCCTGGGCATGACCCTGAGCTACCTGTTCCGGGAGCCTGCCACTGAGCCCCTGCTTTCGGGGAGAGCGTGCGCTGAGTCGGCCATCGGGAGGGGAGCGCTGCATCGCCTGTAAGCTTTGTGAGGCTGCCCCGCCCAGGCCATCACTATCGAGGCCGATCCGCGCGCGGGCGGATGGCAGCAGCCGGACCACCCGCTACGACATCGACATGACCAAGTGCATCTACTGCGGCTTCTGCCAGGAGGCCTGCCCCATGGACGCCATCGTCGAGGGCCCCAACTTCGAGTTCTCCACCGAGACGCACGAAGAGCTTCTGTACAAGGAGAAGCTGCTCAGCAACGGGGACAAGTGGGAGGCCGAGATCACCGCCAACATCCAGGCCGACTACCTCTACCGCTGACGCCCCCAGCCCGGCTGGCCCGCAGCCCCTGCCGCCCAATAAAAAAACTCTGCCCTCCCCCCGCCCCCAAAAAAAAGACTTGCAAAATCCCTATGATTCCATAATTCCACTTCCGGGTATTTATTTGAAGGAAACACAATCACAATCTCAAAAAGCTATCTGCACACCCATGCTTACTGCAGCATTACTTACAATAGTCCAGACATGGAAGTAACCTAAGTGTCTATCAGTGGATGAACAAAGAAAATTACACACACACACACACACACACACACGAATAGTATTCAGCCATAAAAAAGAAGAAAACTTGCCATTTGCAACAACATAGATGGACCATGAGGTCCTCATACTTGGTGAAGTAAGTCAGAGGAAGACATATACTTTATGATCTCACTTATCTGCGGAATCTTAAAAGAAAACAGTAATGTTATTATATATATATATAATGTCAATTTATCTCAATAAAAAAGAAAAAGCAAACTCATAGAAACAGAGATTGGGATTGCCAGAGGTGAGGTATGGGGGGTGAGTGGAATGAGTGAAGGGAGTCAAAAGGTACAAACTTCAAAAGTTATAAAATAAATAATCCCTGGGATTGTAATATACAGCACCGTGATTATAGTTAACAACATCATATATTTGATAACATCAAAACATAATATTTGAAAGTGGCTAAGATAGTAGATCTTAAAAGTTCTTACTGCAAGAAAAAATATTTGGCAATGAATGTTAACTAAATTTATTGTGGTTAATCATTTCACAATATATGCAAATATCAAATCATTATGTTGTATACACCTAAAACTAATACAATGCTATATGTCAATTATATCTCATTAAAAAAAAAAAAAAGACTTGCCAGGAGCACCCTGCTGGCTCTGTCAGTGGAGCATGTGACTCTTGATCTCAGAGTTGTGAGTCTGTGCTCCACATTCGGTCACTTATAAAGAAAATCTTTTAAATACATTTTAAAAAGACTTGCCAAATTTTCTCTAGCTTTGGGACCCAATCAATACTGCCTATTTCATAAGTCATTCAGAAAATGGGTCAGAGCAGCACATTTAAATGGTGTGTGTGTTCATTTTGAAATGTACAGAAACCAGGGGTGCCTGGGTGGCTCAGTCGTTAAGCATCTGCCTTCGGCTCAGGTCATGATCCCAGGGTCCTGGGATCAAGCCCCACATCGGGCTCCCTGCTCCGCGGGAAGCCTGCTTCTCCCTCTTCCACTCCCCCTGCTTGTGTTCCCTCTCTCACTGTCTCTTTCTCTCTGTCAAATAAATAAATAAAACCTTTAAAAAATAAAAAATAAATAAAATGTATAGAAACCAAAACCAAATAAACGCTGTGCTTTTTTTTTTTTAAGATAGAGAGAGAGAGAGAGCGAACTGGGTGGGCTAGAGGTGGGCAGAGGGAGAGAGAGAGGGGGAATCCCAAGCAGACTCCCTGCCTAGTGCAGAGCCTGAGGTGGAATTGGATCCCATTACCCCGAGATCATGGCCTAAGCTGAAATCAAGAGTCGGACACTCAACTGACTGAGCCATCCAGAGGCCCCTAATTCTGTGCTTCTAAGTAGAAGGAGTTGCTAAATGCAGCAATGACTTTCAATTGGGTGACATAGCTGAGACCTCTGTACTACTGGAATCTAATATGAGTTTAACCTGCCATCATCTAACACACAGAAATTAGGAATCCTGATTGATTTAACGATAAACTACAGTCATTATCCAAACTCCAACCAACACAAGCTAAACAAGTGAAGTAGGTGGAGATGTGATAGGAGTCACCACATTTGCATCTTTTATTCTTTGATAATGTCACTCTCTTTGCAATGCCATATATATGTATCACTTGCAAATTGCTATTGCAAGTCAGATTAATTTCCAAGGGCTTTCCAAGGACTCTTCCTATAATAACAGTACTCACTCTTCATATTAAGGAGGAAATATATGGATTCTGCTGTTGTCAAGTATGCATCAAGAAATGGAATAAATGACCATAGTTTATTTTTTTTAAGATTTTATTTATTTATTTGAGAGACAGAGTGAGAGAGAGAGAGAGCGCATGAACAGGGAGGAAGGGCAGAGGGAGTGAGAGAAGCAGACTCCCCACTGAGCAGGAAGCCCAACATGGGACCCGATCCCAGGACCCTGGGATCATGACATGCGTCGAAGGCAGATGCTTAACTGACTGAGCCACCCAGGTGTCCCTCTACAGACATTTTTAAAGATAATGAGAATTCAATAAACAACTTTTCAATATTTGACAACTTAGTTCTTTGACAACTTAGTTCAATGACCAATTTTCTTGAAAAATAAAACCTTTGAAAATTGACACAAGAAGAAATAGAAAGTCTGAATTCTCCTAGCACTATTAAAGAAATTGGACCACTATTTTAAATACTTGCCACAAGAAAACTCCATGCCTGAATTGCTTCACCAGGGAATTCTAAACATTTAAGAAAGAAATAATATTAATCTTACACAAACTCATCCAGAGAACAGAAAGAAGGAAACACTCTGCAACTCATTGTAAAAGTCCAGTAATTTTGATACCAAACCTGATAAGGACATTTCAAAATGCATCTCATAAACGTAGATGCAAAACTCCTTATCAAAATACCAATAAATCAAGAAAAAAATAAAAAAAATCACAACCAAATAGAGTTTATTCAAAAAATGCAAAATTCTTAGCAAACTGAGAACAGAAGAAAACCTCGTTATTCTTACAATAACATCTAAAATTTCTACATCCAATCACAATGATGAATTGTTACAATTAATGGTGAAAATTGAAAGCCTTCCCCCCTAAGATCAGAATTAAGCAAGTATCCCCATTCTCACCATTTTGTTGGAGGTTCTATCCAATGAATTTAAGGCAAGACAAATGAATAAAAGACATATAGATTGGATGAAAATAAATAAATCTGTTATTATTCACAGATGACATCATGGTGCACACAGAAAATAAAATGGAATCTAAAGCGATATACCATAATTTAGCAATGTTGCTGGATTCAAATTCAAAATACAATGCTGATTTTATTTCTATTTACTTTCTAAATACTACCAACAAAGAAACTTTTTTTTTTCAACAAAGAAACTTTAAAAGTGATGCCATGGGCGCCTGGGTGGCTCAGTTGGCTAAGCGACTGCCTTCGGCTCGGGTCATAATCCTGGAGTCCCAGGATCGAGTCCCACATCGGGCTCCCTGCTCGGCAGGGAGTCTGCTTCTCCCTCTGACCCTCTTCCCTCTCGTGCTTTCTCTCTCTCATTCTCTCTCTCTCTCAAATAAATAAATAAAATCTTTAAAAAAAAAAAAAGTGATGCCATTTAGGGGCGCCTGGCTGGCTCAGTCAGTGGAGCATGTGACTCTTGTTCATGGGGTTGTAAGTTCAAGCCCCACATTGGGTACAGCAATTGCTTAGAAACAAAATCTTTTTTAAAAAAGTTATGCCATTTAAAATAGCATCAAAAACATCAAATATCTAGGAAAACATCTAATAAATGATGTGTGAGACTTCTACACTGAAAACCAAGAGTCACATGCTCCATTGACTGAGCCAGCCAGGCAACCAAGGCAACATTTTGAAAGAGAATTCACAAAAGAATACAGCCAAATAGACAAAAAACATACATAAAGATTCTTCACTTCAGTAGTCACAGGGGAATGAAAATTAAAATCACAGTGTGATAGCACTACACACTCATCAGTATGGCTAAGATGGGGGAAAATAGACAATACCAAATGTTGGCGGAATATTTGGAGCAACAGAATTCTCATACACTGCTGGTGGAAATATCAATTCATTGGTACAACCACTTTGGAAAACTGTTTGGTATTGTCTATGAAAGCTAAGGTATGCCTACCAAATGATCCAGCAGTTTTTACTATATTCTCAGAAGAAATTCATGTATAAATGTCCCAAAAGACATGTACAAACATATTTATAACAGCACTCTTCTAATAGCCAAGTCTGGAAACAATCCAAATGAACATGTACACTAAAAGGATTAAATTGCCTTGTAATTACACAAGAAGAATAAAACATAAGAATAAGAGAATTTCAACTATAGGGATGCCTGGCTGGCTCAGTCATAGAGCATGTGGCTCTTGATCTTGGAGCTTTGAGTGTGAGCCCTACATTTGGTGTAGAGATTACTTAAAAATTTAAAATCTTAAAAACTAAAACTACACACCATAACATATGTAAGTTTCAGAATCATAATGTTGAACCACAGAATTCAGGTGCAATGGACATACTGCTTGACTCCATCTATATAGAGCTCAAATAGAGTCATATTAATGTACAGTGTTAGGAATCTGGACAGGGGTTACCTTTGGGATTGGTGACTTCACTATGGTATAATAATCAATCCTAGGATATTGGTATTAGTCTGTTCTTAATCTGGATTTTGGTTTCATCAGAGCACACAAATTGTGAGAATGTCAGTCTGCCCACTTATGATTTGGGCCTCTTTCCTTATGAATGCTATACTGCTATAAAATTTTGGGGGGAAAAAAGACATCAGGCCGAGTAAACAAGAGCCTGGAATTTTTATAGAGCCTGGAATTTTTATAGATCTCATTTGTGTTGGAAGCTGGCACAGAAATAACAAGACAACAAAGACTCATGTTTCGGGCACTTGGGTGGCTCAGTCAGTTAAGCGGCTACCTGATCTCAGGTCCTGGGATTGAGCCCCGCATCGGGCTCCCTACTCAGTGGGGAGTCTGCTTCTCCTTCGCCCTCTGTGATCTCTCTTGCTCTCACTCTCTCAAATAAATAAATAAAATCTCAAAAAAAAAAAGACTCATGTTTGCCTGGGGATTGTAATTGCCTCAGAAAAGGAAAAAGACAAATGCATAAAAGTATATGCAAATTTGAACAATGCTCACCACTTCCATCACACCACACCTGGATTATCGCAGTTTGCCTTCTAGTGTCCTTTGATCTCCTGAGCAAGAACCCAGGAGGAATATCATTCAGTTAGGATTCAATCAGAGAAGTAG